TGAGACCGTATTTGAACCGTCAATGTTTTCTACACAAAAAACGTACTGAAGGTCATGAGCTCTAAAGTTGACCGTTTTCGAGAAAAATCAACTTTTATGTTGAATAACATAGTCAATTTTTTGAAATAAAAATTTTATTGTACTAAAACGTTAGAACAAGTAACAAAAGCAAACGTTAACTTCATAATTGCATAATTAAAAAAAACAATTACAAATCATACACAGTTAAATGCGATGGCAGCCCAAACATTTACGGAAAATTGTTGTTGATGATGACTTTCTGCAATTCCATGTGGATTTTCTTCTGTCCATATATGGTTATTGTGAAAATTGAAAATACCATCTTTCGAGAAAGATTCATCGGTAAACAGAACTTCGGCTCCAAACTCAGGATTTTGAGCTATTTTGTCTTGCATCCATGTACAAAAAGTGTAATTACACTGATAGCTTATCACACAGGAAAAGTAATAGACCTCGTGGTTAAAAGCAGCTACTGCCAAGCATGTACGTATTATAAACAAAGAGACGCGAACGATTCGGCATACGTAGAGCACCAAGAAAATTGCCCAATAAATCATCATGGCTCTTCTGGCAAGATGAAAGTCGATGGTATGCTTGAAATATTTCAGAAATCNTGACCCAATGTCACCAACTTGAACTGGTTCCATAAAATGTTACTAAAATCTCATTACAGCATCGGATGCTGTAAAGAGTCTCATTACAGCACCCGTTTGAGTACTGTTATAGCTTCTATTACCGTAGCGAATTACAAAAAGGTAATGTATTTCGCACATTTCAGCGTTTGTGTAATTCATTTTTAATTTTGTAATACAAGTTTACTTTTTGCAGGTACAAACCAATTGTTATTTTGACAAGAGGTAGCTTTTGTTATAATATTTAAAGCCTACTTGTTAAAAATAAATTATTCATTTTTTTTACACAACCGCTGAAATGTGTTGTACAAATTTGTTATAAAATTTAATTTAATTTTAATTACTTGAAATGTGCGAAATGCGTTGCCTTTACGGTTTGGAGAATTTTGAAAAGACAACTTTTGTATCATTTTTTTTATTTTGCAATTGTGAAGTTAACGCTTGCTTTTGTTACTTGTTCTAACGATTACATAAATTTTTCCTGGCACAAAACTTAGTTTATTACATGTACAAAATGCTTACAAACACTGTTTTCTGTACGATAAACGGTTCCGGAGATACTCGCAAAAAACGATTTTTTTTAATTAAATGTTAGCACCCTGTAGCTCGAACATGGTGCATTTTAGAGGGTAAGTTGATAGAAACTTTTTTACAAATTTTTGGACAAGTCATCACATCCTGAAGTCCTGCGCATATATTATGAAATACCTGTACATGCAGATGCAAACCACGCGTAATAAATCGTGGGGAAGACAACTGGTTATGCGTTAGGGATTACAATTTTAAAATATTATCTCGCTGATGCATATTGATATCGTACTGGTAGAGAATAACTTGATCAGAAAATCTTCTAATGAATTTTTTCCATATTCTAAACCCAAATACATCCAGGGGTTGAATTTGACCTGTTGTCCCTGCAGGTATAGACAAATGTTTAAACTTAACATTGGATGGAGTTACTTCACTAATAATTTCAGGGCAGTGGCCACTCAAACAATCCAGTAATAGTAATGATTTGGTTCCGGTGTTTAGGAAATAGACATTTTGTAGCCAATTTTTCATATGAGCAGAAGTCAGTTAACCAGACTTTGAAGCCAAGACGAATATGTTATCTGCTTTGAACATTGTACTACCTAACGTATAAAAAAATCATCGTGGTAAATTGCACCAAAATAGACAAACAATTTTCGCAAAAAAGATTAATTTTTGATGTGGTTAGGATAGTTAACCCCAGCCACCCCTAAATGTTGTATAGAATATACGATAAACCATAAACTAATTTATGGTTTTCTTCAAAATATTGTTCAAAAGTGTAATAGTTTATCACATTATTCAGGGGATGGTCAGAGGCAAATAAGAAAAAACACATAATTAATATTTTTAAACGTACTATAAGGATACTTATAGTACGTTTAAAAGGGGGAGGGCCAAGTAAATGGTCATTTTTTTTCCTTTTTTTTTACTTAGACAATTCATTTAACATCTGTACATCATAATATTCATGATTTTAAGGTAATAAAACTTGTTTGATGCTCAGTAACGCGCTCCGCAAGTATATATACAAGAGTTATACGCGCTTTACATTTCAACTGAGAGGCATTGTCGATTTTTATATTCACATCGTTGTTGCGCTTTATATTTGAAAAATGAGTGGAAAAGTGAACCCAATTATCGTTCAAGCCGTCCACGTCGTCGGCGATACGGTGGCAATCAATATACAAACGTACAAAACCCTGAAAAGGAAGAGGTACCGAGTTGTTCCGAAGCAAGTGCTTCAGCAAAAAAATTGAAAGCGTTGGTGTCCGACGTCGTTGTGAATTACGGTTTTTGCTACTTTGGATTATAGAATTTGTGACCGTCTTTTCTGCTATTTCTGACATAGCTGTTTGTAGAAGATGTAAGCAAAAATTATCATTCGGACAATCAGGAGAGAGAGGACTTGGATTTAAAATATGTGTAAATAGATTCAGGACCATTTATTCACAATAGTTTTGAAATAAATCGAAGAGTTATTTTCGCTATGAGACTACTGGGAGTAGCTCGAGAAGGAATAAACATTTTTTGTGGCATAATGGATTTGGGAAAAGGACTGAGCAAAAAATCATACGAAAGCATAGTGCAGCATATATATGAGTCTACCAAAAAGGTTTTTGATTTGTGTTGCAAAAGCGCTATACAAAGTGAAATAAAATTAAATGAAGAAAATAAGAGATCTGTTTTAACCGTTAGCGGTGATGGTTCTTGGAAAAAGCGTGGATTTACTTCTCTGTATGGTGTAATTACACTGATAGCTTATCACACAGGAAAAGTAATAGATCTCGTTGTTAAAAGCAGCTACTGCCAAGCATGCACGTATTATAAACAAAGAAACGCGAACGATTCGGCATACGTAGAGCACCAAGAAAATTGCCCAATAAATCATCACGGCTCTTCTGGCAAGATGAAAGTCGATGGTATGCTTGAAATATTTCAGAAATCTGAGGAACGATATGGAGTGCGATACAGTAATTACGTAAGCGACGGCGACACCAAGACTTTCAAGGCTATTGTAGATACAATGCCTTACGGTGACGATTTTCAGGTGACAAAGCGAGAATGCATTGGGCATGTGGGGAAACGCATGGGCAGCCGACTGCGAAACTTAAAAAAAACTGCAAAACTTGGAGGTAAGGGGAAACTTACGGACGCTCTTATAAAACAGCTGACAAATTATTATGGCCTGGTTATTCGAAAAAATGTCGATTCAGTGGATGAAATGAAAAAAACAATTATGACTACATATCACCATTTAATTTCAACCGACATGGAATCGCAGCATCACTTCTGTCCTCAGGGCGTGGACTCGTGGTGTAAGTACCGCGTAGCCGAATCCCAGAATGCAGCAGAGGCTTATACTCATACTCCTCCATTACATCCTGCCGTGGCTAAGCACATATTGCCGATATATGAGGACTTGTCTCGGGATGACTTACTTCAGAGATGCTTGGATGGCTACACCCAGAACGTAAAGGAATCCTTTAGCATCTTTAGCCCCTAAGCATCTAAACTGTGGCTCAAAATTATACACATTGCTGCTTATTTGGCCGGAGGTATGTTCAACGATTCATTTTAGAAGTTATGAATGATATGCAACTGCAAATCGGTCCGCATTGCAAACAATTCGCTGACGCGTACCACAAACACCGCGTGGACAGACAGGACCGCCGCAACCAAAGGACATCAAAAGAGGCAAGGACAACTCGAAAAAAAGAATTATCCGTTAGAATGGATGAGTTTGCAGAAGAGGAAGGTCTTTTATACGGCCCTGGCATCGCAGACTAAGCTTTTATTAATCGTAAGTTCCCACACAATTTTTCTTTACCAAAAACGTCGAACGTTTTTCTCAGAAAGTCAAATTTTGCACGCCGTGCAATGTAGCACCTACAATTTTTAACCGGTCGAAACGAGCTTTGGAACATACATTGTTTAAAATATTGGCTTTTGCATGAACCATGATGATGAACTTGGCGTTGAACCACAAGACCCTTGGTCGATTTATTTAAAGGAAGTTAAACGCTATAAAGAAGCTTGTTGTGATGAAGATTCGCTAACATGACCGCTAGTTAAATAATTAATAAAAAACTTTAATAATTTATATAATTTTTGGACTTATCTCAGTTAACTAAATAGGTAAAAAATAAAAAAAAATTAGAAAGTCATCTCCACAAAAATTAACTTATTTTAAAACCCACTCTTTGATTTTCATTGTTTATTTTTTAATTGGTTTCAGACATGCCAGCTGCAATGCTTNCGAATCCCAGAATGCAGCAGAGGCTTATACTCATACTCCTCCATTACATCCTGCCGTGGCTAAGCACATATTGCCGATATATGAGGACTTGTCTCGGGATGACTTACTTCAGAGATGCTTGGGTGGCTACACCCAGAACGTAAAGGAATCCTTTAGCATCTTTAGCCCCTAAGCATCTAAACTGTGGCTCAAAATTATACACATTGCTGCTTATTTGGCCGGAGGTATGTTCAACGATTCATTTTAGAAGTTATGAATGATATGCAACTGCGAGAAAAGAATTATCCGTTAGAATGGATGAGTTTGCAGAAGAGGAAGGTCTTTTATACGGCCGTGGCATCGTAGACTAAGCTTTTATTAATCGTAAGTTCCCACACTATTTTTCTTTACCAAAAACGTTGAACGTTTTTCTCAGAAAGTCAAATTTTGCACGCAGTGCTATGTAGCACCTACAATTTTTAACCGGTCGAAACGAGCTTTGGAACATACATTGTTTAAAATATTGGCTTTTGCATGAACCATGATGATGAACTTGGCGTTGAACCGCAAGACCCTTGGTCGATTTATTTGAAGGAAGTTAAACGCTATAAAGAAACTTGTTGTGATGATGATTCGAAAACAAGACCGCTAGTTAAATAATTAATAAAAAACTTTAATAATTTATATAATTTTTGGACTTATCTCAGTTAACTAAATAGGTAAAAAATAAAAAAAAAAAATTAGAAAGTCATCTCCACAAAAACACAAAAATTAACTTATTTTAAAACCCACTCTTTGATTTTCATTGTTTATTTTTTAATTGGTTTCAGACATGCCAGCTGCAATGCTTTCTGAAGGTACCGTATCGACTGCCCCATTCGACCCACGGTTCCCAAATACAAACCAAACGAGGTATTGCTATCAAAGTTAATTGGATTTTCATCGTTGCCAGAAAGTCAAGAGTCAGGGTTACGCGCCGTGCAACTATTTCAAGAAAATGTATGAAGCGCTCTGTCCTAATGCTTGGGTGGAAAAATGGGATGACCAAATTGATGGAGGAAGTTTCTCTGGACACATCTAAGCTGGGTCTCAAACCACCCTCTTACCATTCGTCAGTTAACTCTAGTTAACTGTAGCTACAATGTTTATGTGTTCTAATTTATGAACATTTAATTAAATAAACTTATGTAAATACGGTTACTTTTAATTTTAATAAATAAATTTATCGCCCTAAAATTTTATTTTGGTTTCAATTTTAATTAAAATTGACGTTTTAATTTTGCTATTTATTTTATTTTACTCATACAGGTAGTTACAAAATTTGCGAATGGTTAATAATTTATTAAATGTAAGTCAAGAGAGGAAATACCTTTCGAACCTTAACATGTTCGCTGCGTAAACTTAACTTTCACTCACAAGGGAAGTGTCGAACCTCACCGATTTTGTTGCAATTTGGTACAGCGATAGTATGGCCAAAAATAAGGTTTACGTATTTTATTATACGTGCTAATAAAACCCCTGGGGCGAGTTATAAGGGTTGGAAATCGAGCCGAAAGATATACCGGGTGTTTCATTTAAAATAACATATGCTTATATCTCAAAAATAAAAACTCGAATCGAAAAAAGTTTCAAGTAAACATTTTTTGGTGAGAAGGGGGACAATTGTACACATGAACAGAATTTTTTTCAGGGTTGCCTAAAGGCCCTTCTGACGTCATTTTTATTTTTTCAAATGGCACATACCCAGTAAACAAATTTGCGTTTCAGAAACATTTCTGATACATATTATTGAAACATGAAACGTTTCTTCCACATATTTCTGAAACATAGATGAAACGTGTCTGAAAATGCTAATGTCCGACCCTTATTATGTTTTATTGAAACGTTTCTGCAACATACAGCTGACAATTACGGTACACTACTAAAATGTTTCATTAATGGTTTTGAATTATTTCTGTAATGTTTTGTTTACATTTACATTACATTAATAGTATGTATCATAAACATTTAAAAATAATTTCTGAAAGGTTTCGTTGACGTTTCAGGGATGTACATATGTATGTAAAGATATAATTTCGTTGAGGTGTAGCGTCTGCATCCTGGACAAGATGCTCATACATGCTTCCTCAAAAGATATGCATATGCTGAGGAAGCATTTCTGAGCATACCACCCAGGGCGCAGACGGTGGACGCTGCAACAAAATCATACCTTAAGGTAGGAAAAATAATAATAGAAGTACGATACTTGTTACTTCCCAGTAAACAAATTTGCGTTTCAGAAACATTTCTGATACATATTATTGAAACATGAAACGTTTCTTCGACATATTTCTGAAACATAGATGAAACGTGTCTGAAACTGCTAATGTCCGACCCTTTTTATGTTTTATTGAAACGTTTCTATTGAAACGTTTCTGCAACATACAGCTGACAATTACGGTACACTACTAAAATGTTTCATTAATGGTTTTGAATTATTTCTGTAATGTTTTGTTTACATTTACATTACATTAATAGTATGTATCATAAACATTTAAAAATAATTTCTGAAAGGTTTCGTTGACGTTTCAGGGATGTACATATGTATGTAAAGATATAATTTCGTTGAGGTGTAGCGTCTGCATCCTGGACAAGATGCTCATACATGCTTCCTCAAAAGATATGCATATGCTGAGGAAGCATTTCTGAGCATACCACCCAGGGCGCAGACGGTGGACGCTGCAACAAAATCATACCTTAAGGTAGGAAAAATAATAATAGAAGTACGATACTTGTTACTTCCCAGTAAACAAATTTGCGTTTCAGAAACATTTCTGATACATATTATTGAAACATGAAACGTTTCTTCGACATATTTCTGAAACATAGATGAAACGTGTCTGAAACTGCTAATGTCCGACCCTTTTTATGTTTTATTGAAACGTTTCTATTGAAACGTTTCTGCAACATACAGCTGACAATTACGGTACACTACTAAAATGTTTCATTAATGGTTTTGAATTATTTCTGTAATGTTTTGTTTACATTTACATTACATTAATAGTATGTATCATAAACATTTAAAAATAATTTCTGAAAGGTTTCGTTGACGTTTCAGGGATGTACATATGTATGTAAAGATATAATTTCGTTGAGGTGTAGCGTCTGCATCCTGGAC